CTTAGCTGATGCATTCAGCCACACAGCACCACTTAGAAGTGTCGGGGGAGTACATGATTTCCTTGGTTCTTTCTCACCACAGCAAAAATTTGAAGTGGCAGACCAGTGTTCCAGCTCCGTCACAGCTGTGTTATTAAGCAAGCAAAGGAAAATACATCCTCAAGGGGTGAGGGCGGGCTGACCCAAAAGAAGAGGAGCAAGGCTTAATTTTGGCTCCTCTTTTTATGTTTTTTTTCTTCCCCCTGAGCCTTCTCTATGTAAACTGGGCTAGCCAGGAGGGCTGTTTGCTTCACCTGAGGTTCTCTCTCCGGCCCTCAGACCTTCCTTAGGTCTATTTTCCCCAGGCTTTTTCCTTTCTTTGTCTTTTAGTCACTGTTATTTTGGGCTCATTTTTCCTATTCTAGCTACCTAACAGAAGCCTTCCTCACATGCGAATAAGCTTTTTGTCCTAAGCATATAATTTTGAAATAACATTTTCTGCTCCAGAAAAGGCACATTTTGGACTCACTTCCTGGACAAGGCTTTGGCCACCAGCTCTGTGATTAGAGTGGTTTGAAGGGTGGAGGGGTGGGTTGCTGGGGGCTGTGTGGTGAGCACCTGGGTAGTGCCCTCCCCCCACCCCCCCACCCCCGCCACGAGCGGAGTCCACATAGTGTGGGTCCTGCCTGGAGCGGCTGAGCAGGGACCTTCCCGGGCCCAGCCAAGCCTTCCCAGGTGAGGCGTGGGGGCCTCCAGCATGAAACTGGACCCAGGACTGGGAACGGACTTCTGGGCTTTCCACTTACACCTTCATCCCCTTTCCCTGGAGAAAGCATCTCACGTCCAGCAGGTCCAGTGGCCCTGCCGCCAGTGCCACCATCCCCAGGGCTAACAACCCCAGACCCCTGAGACCTCCCAAACCAGACCTCTGCAGGGAGCAGGAGAAAGACACCAGGGATACACATGAGGTCCCCTTCATTGCTTGCCGTTGACCCCCAGCTACAAAACACTTGGAAGGAGAGGCGAACCCTTCCTGAGCAGGGTCTAGGCGGCCCATGAGACTCTGGCCACAACCGAGAGCCGTGAGGCTTAGAGGCCTCCATGAACCTGCAGCCTCAACCCCAAATCCAGCGCCGCGACCACCCTGAAGCCCCCTCCTGCTCCCCATCCACCCCACAGGGTCTTTGGTTGAATTCTGTGCCATCTCCCAGGCAATGCTGGTCTCCTCCTGGGCCTCCTGCGGAGAGCAGGGCTGTGGATAGCTTCTCCATCCCCCTCCACCCGCTGCAGGAAGGAGAAGGATGGGGAAGTTCAGGATGATGGGAAAGGAGTGCTTGGTTCTGAGGCGACCAGAGTAAGGACGGTCTGGGGGGACCAGGAAAGGTGGTGTATCTGGGAAAACCACTCCTCCTGATCGGTTTTTGGGAGAACTGCGCCTGCAAGGGCGACAGCAATGCACTCTCCAGACCTCTTGCTCTGAAGGAGCGGGAGGGAAGGAGGCTGGAGGCAGACTTCCAGCAGAGCTGGGAGAGCAGAGCCGGGAGGAGGCCGGGTGGGAGTGGGCCCCGGCCTTGGAGAGTCCTGCAGCAATTCCCCTGCGAAAAGTCCCAGACTCACCCCACCAGGGCCAGCAGGAGGCTGCCCATCAAGGGATGACTGCTCTGCGCAGGTCTCAGACCCTGAGCTCCGGGGTCTGTGCTAGAAGCTGGGGCCCCATCTCCTGAGCCAGCTGCACCCTAAACACACTCACAGGAGCCCTGGTGTCCAGAGGGGCGGCCTGCCCACTCCTGTCTGCCAGCGCTGCTTGGAGGAGAAGGAAAGGGGGTGGGGGGTGGGAGGAACAGTCAGGAAGGAGTCTAGTGGGGGCTGAGCCTTTGGCTCTAGTGACCTAGCAGCCAGTTCAGAATGCAGGGTCGGGGTTGGGGGGTGGGGACGCGGGGCCTCCTCCTCCAAGGGGGGGGGCCCACTGGCCTGGCTGTGGACCTGCTCCTCTCCAGGGCTGCATTTGTGTCTGGAGCAAACGCACCTGCCTTTGGGGGTGCAGGGGGATAAAAAACAAACAAAATCCGGGAACTCCTTTCATTCACAGAGAGGGGCCAGCTCTGAAGTGGCGAGGGGCCTCTCTCTGCCCCCATCGTGGGGGTCCTGACAGCGACAGTCGTTTGCCCTGAAGCCTTAACGAAGGGATCGCGGCTGGCGAGGCGGGGGACGCGCCACGGTCGGCTGTGCGGTAACCAGACGGCGGCCCGACGCCCGGCCGGCTCCCCAGACGCGGGGGGCTCCCCGACTCCTGCGGACGTGATGAGGGGGCAATGAGGCTTGACCTGCGCGTCGGCGCCCCAGTCCTCTTCCCGCGGGACCCCGCGGAGGGGCTGGGAGGCCGGGTTTCTGCACGGCTGGAGGCCGGTCGGGGAGCCCAACCGCGCTCCTCCTCGTCTGCGGGGCAGACGCAGGCAGACTCACCCAGGCCTCTTTCAACGCCCCGGTTCCCTCCCCTCCTCTCCGCGCGAGAAGACGACTCGACGCAGCGCAGGCCCGTCAGGCCGCGGACTGTTTGTCACTGATGGATGCGGAGCCCTGACCTTCCGGGCTCCCCGCCCGCCGCCCCTCCCCGGGGCCCCCAGCCCGCTCCTCTCCGGCTCCTTTGCAGGTTGGCCACATTCAACTGTGCAAACAGGAAAAAAAAAAAAAAAACACCAAAAAGGTAGGCCGAGGACCGCTTGAGATCATTAGCTTAATTCGAGCTGAAGGGCCTTTGCTGGAAGTTGGGGCGGGGAGGGGCCTGGGGACCTTTCAGTGTTTTGCCGGCGAGCTTGTTGAGCTCCGATTGCCTTTGTTGTGATAATCTGAAATTAATTTGCACTTGAACCCATCTTTCTTCTGGGCTCCCTTTAAACACTGTTATAATTATGCGCCCGGCGTGAAATTGAGCGCAGGCCCTGATGTGACAGAGCTGAATATTTGAATTCCCCAGGTACGCAAGGCTTTTTTCCCCACTTATCTCACAAGGTAATAAAACAAAATGTTCCGGCGCACACGCTCCAGAGCCAGGTATTTGCCGGAGGGAAACAGGGCTAATCAGTGCCTGGCAACACATTTTACTGTGTACTTTCTCTGTGGGTCAATCACTTCCTTTTAAAGTGATGTTCAACTTCTGCTCCTATTAGTTGGTTTCCATCTTGTATGCTCTGCAAACAGAAAAATGGCCTGTTTTATTCTACTTCAACCGCTCCTCACCTAAGAGGCTTTGTCTCCACACCCATCTTCTCAGGTTTTCCCCCCAGGGATGAAAGCCTACCCCCACCCCCACCCCCACGGGCACAATTGACGAGCGCAGCACCCTTCTTGTTCCTGTGAGAGCTGCTGTCGACCTTATCAGCATTCTTTTAGTTTTAACCCAGATTAGTGTTTTGGGTGAGAAATCTCATTAACTCCGGCCGGCCCTTCGCCTTCTGCGATCGCCTTTGGAATTGTAATGGACTAAAATGCCGTGGGGGGTGCGGGGCTGTGTGCTTCCCCCAGGTGCAATCTTTAAATCCGCCAGCAACTTAGAATAAGGACACTTTCCACCCGCCCCAGCCCCTACCCAGCCCCCTCCCGCGCCCCCGAGAGGCCTTTGGAGGTTTGGGAGAAAACTGAGGCTCCCCCTTAATGGAAACTGTAACTGGGACGGCCTGGGGATGGGGAAGGTGGGAGGGGGCGCTCTCGGCACCCGGGGCCCTCCCCTATCCCCCCCACCCCCACCCCAGGCCCCCTCTCCAGCTCCCCTGATTCCCGGATTCCAAAACCCAGCCTGCAAATGATTGTCATCTCATCCTGGAGCTAACGAAAAACTGGTTTCGTGGTCACAGGGAGCAAAGAAAGAACCCATTTGCCCAGCAGGATCGCTGGGCAGAAACTGGACAAAGAAGTCTGTGCTCCCCGGGGACACGTGTCCGTGAAAAAGGAAATCCACTCACTTTCGATCGCCCTCCGTGTGTTCTATAAAGGATTAAAACACACGTACCCACATACTTATTTGAGGAATGAAATCTTCAAGGGTCAGAAATCATGGTTTACAAAAGAAAATGTCACCCTCTAAATGTCAGTTTATTTACACAGCGCAGGGGGTTAATCCTCAATGGCAGATTTAGAGGACCCCTCTCACTTGTTAAAAATATTAATTTCGAATAATGCTGAATACTCACTGGGTACAATATTATTTTTCACCAAGTAAGTATGCGTCTCTAGTGTCTTGATCCTCTCTGAGCAACTGTTTTTGTGTGAGCTCAGTGACTGTCTGAGGGAAGAGGCAATGCCAGTTTTGAGGTTAACTGTGGTAGGCTTCCCTGAGACCAGGTTGGATCCCTGGGTGGGGTAGATCCCCTGGAGGAGGGCACAGCAGTACACTCCAGTATCCTTGCCTGGAGAATTCTGTGGACAGAGGAGCCTGGCGAGCTACAGCCCATGGGGTCACAAAGAGTCAGACACGACTGCGCGACTAAGCAGGCATGCGATAGTGACAGGGCTATCTTATTCACTGCTCTCCAGAGCCTGTTAAAATTCACACAGAAGTAGCGTCTCTGTTCTTCAGTCACTTTGGTTGTGGTGGTTTAGTTGCTAAGTCGTGTCCGACTGTTTGTGACCCCATGGACTGCAGCCCGCCAGGCTCCTCTGTCCATGGGATTCTCCAGGCAAGAATACTGGAGTGGGTTGCCATTTCCTCCTCCAGGGGATCTTCCCATCCCAGGGATTGAACTCACATCTCTTGAGTTGCAGGTGGATTTTTTACCTCTGAGTCACGTGGGAATAACTTCACCTCCAATGTTATTTTAATTTTTAATTTAATTTTTAAAAATTGAATTGGAGTTGATTTGCAGTGTACAACATTATTTCAGATAAAGGATGGAGATGGTGCATTGAAATTTCCTTGACTGGACTCCTTAGAAAGGCCGCGCTGGGTACACACGCTTGAACAGAGAGCCAGGGGGCGGGGGTGGCCGGAGGCCCCCCGGCCTAGAGGGGAGGGGCGTGTGCCCCAGATGAGGTCATCGCCGTGCGGGAGGGGTGTGTCCCTGAGCGTGCGCGCGACGTCACGCAGGGGAGCACCGCGCCCCTCGGTCACACAGACCGGGGGTGTGTGTGCCTGCGGCCCCGTGAGGGTGCGGGGTGCCCATCACAGCGCCCAGAAGAGGCTGTGTCCAGCATCGCATGCAGGAGACGTGGGCAGCCTCGCGTCTCAGGCCCAGCCTCATGCCGCATCCCAGAGGGGTGGGTCCCTAAGGCCTCGTGGAAGGGGCTGGGTCCGCTTGGAGAAGTGAAGAAGTGAGGCGAAGTCGCTCAGTCGTGTCTGCCTGGACTGGAGCCCACCAGGCTCCTCCGTCCGTGGGATTCTCCAGGCAAGAGCACTGGAGTGGGCTGCCATTTCCTTCTCCAGGAGATCTTCCGACCCAGGGATTGCACCCGAGTCTCCCGCTACGATGCGGCAGATGCTTTAACGTCTGAGCCGCAGGGAATGGGTGCGCTTGCTATCACGGCAGAGAAGAGTGTGTGCCTTGGAGGAGGCTGGGGCCCCATGCCCTCCCTAAGACGCCTTGAAAGCGGAGGCGAGCGTGGCTGTGTCTGGGGCGGGCCCGTGAGTGCCCTCATCCTGATGCAGAGCCTGTGTGGACGCGGCCCTCGCCGTCCGGGGCGGGCGCGGCCCGCAGGGTGTCTGTCCCAGCTCCCCCGCTCTCCGGCCGTGAGCCCCCCGACTTGCCGCTGTGCCCGGAACTCCCCATCGAGTGCCCCTCAGAAGCCCACCCCGAGAGGGACTGCCGCGCGCCGTGAGACCTGTGGGGGCGAGGCGGGCCCCTGGGCTGCCCCAGCGCCTCCCTCCTGGCGCTTGAGCACCCCTGTGAGGTGGCCCGCCCGCGTGTCACAGCCTCAGCTGACGGGCAGCCGGGGAGAAGCAGCCCTCCACAAACCAAGCAGGCGGCCCTGGTTCTCCTCTGATACCATCTCCTGGCCTCATTATGGATTATCTGCTTTCCCGGCTCTCGTTTCCTGAAGGTGCGATAGGGGGCCACAGAGGTGACGACAGACGGGCATCCGGCCCTGCGACTGAAGTGGCCGGTCATCAGATGAGTGTCTTCTCTGGTGGGGTGGGGGTGTTTGGCAAAGCAAGCATTAGGTGCTGTCTTGACTTAATCTCTCTCTCCTTTATCTCAAATCTGTTTTGCACCCTCCCAGGCAATTTACTAGCAGCCTTGTCATTGATTCTATCACCTAAATGTGCCCCCCAGGAAGAGCTATGTTTTGAAGATGAATCAGCTCTTCTTTTAAACAACTGGGTGCTTCAGCTTAATGCGAAAACAGCTCTTGAGACAACCATAACAAAAATACCCTAAATACTGTAAGTGTCGTAACTACTTACAGCCATCTTTAGCCAGAACCCTGGTGGTTCCGGGAGCTCCCCTTGGGTCTTGTGGTCAGTGATCTCTTAGAACCGAGTGCCTGCTGCAGTTGAGCTCGCTGCGTGGAACACGTGTGCACAGCTCACAATCATAGAGACAGCGGACGGGTCTAAGGCTCACTACCTGGAATGCCTGCACAACTGATTCACGCGTGGCCTCTCCGGTCATGAGACCGCTTGGGTGTCAGGTCTCACCACTGTAGAGTCTTTGGTACTCCAGCTCACCTCCGCATTCAGGCTGGAGTTATTTATTGGGACTGGAGGCTCCTGGTCACAAGCGACCGATGACAAGCGTGTGGTTCCCAGTGCATTTTGTGGTGGTTTTAATTTGCAGCTGCCTGTATCCCCTCCCCACTCTGTAGTTCTAAAGGAAAAGGTCCCCTTTCTCAGATTCAGCTGGGCGCCCAGCTGTGAGTGCATGCTCAGTCGAGTCTGACTCTGCGACCCCGTGGACTGCAGCCCGCCAGGCTCCTCCGTCCATGGGATTCTCCAGGCAAGAGCACTGGAGTCGGTTGCCATTTCCTTCTCCAGGGGATCTTCCTAGCCCAGGGATCAAACCCGGGTCTCCTGCATTGCAGGCAGACGCTTTACCGTCTGAGGTACCAGGGAAGCCTCCTGGGTTAAAACTGTAAAGAAATAGATGCTAATCTTATGGCTGATCTGCTGCTGAAGCAAATGAAGTCTGTTCCCCAACAGACTAGGGCAGAGATGAAGATAAAAGAGCCAGGTCTGAAAGGGGAGGCTGGAGTGAAGTGTTGGGGAGGTGTCTCTGGGGCGGCCCAGGGGTGGGGGTGGGGGTTCAGTGCAGGCCCAGGGGTCGTGGACTGTGGCCTATGGGTTGGGTGCAGCCTCAGCTATTTCTGCAGATGCAGCCCAGGGTGCTCACCGGCCAGCGATGCTCCTGCACCAGACAGCCCTGAATCCTGGCTTCAGGGACTGTGTGTGGCCCCCAAACTGAAAAGATTTACCTTCTGACCTTTTATAGATAAAGTTGCCAACTTGTTTTTGGCCCATGCACAGACACCCTAGAACAGTCACAGACAGTTGGGTAGCATCAGCGTTGAGTGCTAAGGGGCCCGTAAGAACCGGAGCCCAAGTGTCCTTGTAGCCACGACTCTACGATCCCCTAAAACAACCCTGTGACACACCCTTGTGTGGGTTGGGGGCAAAGCCTCACGACCCGTGGAATGCAGCATCTGCTCTTGACTTCCCAGGCCTGCTCTCTGCTCTCTCGAGTGGGCTGCAGTCATTTTTAAACAAAACTTTGGGAACCCCAAGTTTGAGGAAAAGGCCGGCATGAGGCTAAACCCTGGATACCGTAGCTAGTTTTTGTCCCAAATCTGGGAATCTCTCCAATACGAGTTGCATTGGTCCAGGCCCAAGAGGTTTTCATTTTTATTTATTTATTTTTGGCTGCACTGGGTCTTCGTTGCCACACGCAGGCCTCCCCTAGTTGCAGAAAGTGGGGGCTGCTCTTCGGTTAGACACCCACTTCAGGGACTTTTCTTGTTGAGGAGCATAGGCCCTAGAGTGTGGGCTCAGTAGCTGTGGCACGTGGGCTTTTACCCATGCAGTTTGGGAAGAGTCTAGTTCATTGAAGTGAGTGCACACCCAGTTTGAATGTGAAACCTGATTCTCAAAACAGAGACAGGGCTTAGCAAACCAGATTAGAGGCTTTCCCTTCCTGCAGGTCCCGGCTTGGACTTCTTTGCTTCTGCTCTGATCTTTTGTCCTGAGAAAGGACTGACACCATCCACTTCCCATAACGTGGTTGAGGGTCTGCAGCCCGCCTGGAGGCAAAGTGGGGCTCAGCGGGCAGTTTGTGAGTAAGGACTAGGGAGGAAGGAGACACAGGATGGAAGGTGCCCACGGATACCCAGTCGGGCGAGCAGTGCATTCACGTCCTGAGCTGACAGCCAGCGGTGCGGTCACAGAAAAACAGATGTCTGTGTGGAAGACGAGCCCCAGAGATGGTGATGGGACTTTGGGGTGGAGCCTTAAGACTGTCACTAGCATCCCGAGTGCATTGCAGGCGGTTCAGACCTTTACCACCTGCTGGGCACCCCAGGCACTCAGCTCAGCTGCCCGGCCCTCCTGCGTCCTGCGCTTCGGGGAAATACATGCTGTGAAATGGTTCATTTGTTTAAAAATCAGCTGGATCTTACATTTGAGCATTCTGACATGAGGACACAGAGTCAAAGTGTAGAACAGAGACTTGTTTTCAATGAGACAGAGTCAGTCTCGGGTATGACCTGGGTTCACTGAAAGCTGTATCGGTTATCAAGTCCACCCAGGATAATGTCTCAGCTCAGTTTTGCATACATCACTAAGGAGAACCACGGAGACTCTTCCGCAGGAGACCGAGCAGTCCCGGGCTAGTCTCACGGTAGAGTGGATGCAGCTCCGGGGCGCTCATCGTGTGTCTGCACTGTGACCCCGTTGTGACGGTCTCCCCTTTACTATGACACCACCGTTGCAGTGAGCTCCTAGTATTTTTAAAGGCAGCACTCTTGCCTGCTCCCTGTTTGTCATAGTTGGACATATGCATCCCATGGAGAAGCCCCGCTCCTGGAAGGCCATGCCAGCCTTCAGAGGACAGACAGGGGTCCTGTTGGAAGGGGGACCCCTCCCTCAGCTCCAGAGCATTCAAGCCAGGGGTGGGCTCAGGCCTGCCACGTTTCTTCCCTTCCATGCTTAGGGGAACTCCCAGTTCCTTTTTCCTAAATAAATGCCTCAGTTAACAGCCACAGGGCATGCAGGGGAGCAGAGGTCAACAGGCAGGGGTCAAGGGAGGGCCCTGCTGCACTCATCGTCATCCTCGCTTTTGGGGTCGAGACAAATGGCCGCGTTTGTCCACCACCACCTTCTGCTCTGGTTCTCCCATCCGGCAAACACTGGGTTTCCAGGATACTCCTGTCTTCCCTGGTCTCACTGTGACTAAAGGTTCCTACATTTCAGCAAGCTTCGCAAACACCCAACCAGGACAAAGTGACTTTACTCTGCGTCTGCCAGCAAGCCGCCCTCGCTTGTGTCCACCGTCCCCTCCCCGCCTAAGGGGCATGGCTCCCTGGGGGGCACAGCTCTAGACTCAGCCGCTGCCCGTGGCGCCGCATCGCTTCGGAGCAACCTGAGCACTTCACATGCTCTTCTGAGCGCCATCCCGAATCTACGACGTTCCTTCCAGCTGCAATCTGCCTAAAGCAAATAATGTTTCCAGGACGCCCTTGAGGGGTAGGTGAACCACGCATTGCTCACGGTGTATTTCTACGGTTGGAAACACTTTTATGGTTTATTCATAATTACAATTTTATACTTTTATAATTTATTCAAACTTGTAACTATTGAAGAAAATATTTCACTCCCTTTTCTCATTCTTATAAATCCTTGCCCCTGCACATACATGGCAAACTTTAAGGTAATACATGAGCATATAACAGCACATTGCAAAAAACAAATGATAGTTTGTATTTAAAAAGTGGGAAATAATTACAATACTCTTTACTGTCAATGCCCACTTTTTCAATTTTTATTAAGTTTGGCCTAATTATTCTTTTTTTTTTTCTTTCAATGGTGGGCTTTTAAATACTTTCTCTGGAATTGTGTTTTCAAACATTTAGGAATTCATTACATTTTAAACTTAAAAATAAGAAAGGCATTAATAGATCATTGCTTTGGGTGGTGTGAACCTGCCACTGGAAAGAGAAGCAGGTAGAAAGCAACTAGCAGTTTGTAGCTGGGAAGGCTTCCTGAAGGTGGCTTCAATGGTCTACACTAACGAAAAGGACACATGAGGCTCCCCTCGAGGTTGAGACACAGATATCCAGATGTCAGATCATGACTGATGTTGCTACTATATACCGATACACATTTATCTGGAAGAACAAACTTGGTCCCAATACCGTAGGAAAGTAGAATATTAAAAATTCCTTTATCCAGTGCAACTTTAAGTTCATTTTCAACTTTGCACACCAAGAGATATCTGAGCACAGATGGCATCCATCCAGACCCACACTGAACAAAATCGCAGTAGGGAAAATTTGCCCCGACTCCAATAAGAGCCCAAGACACACAGAAGCCAGCTCCAGGCTGGAACTGCTTGTAATTTTCATTTGCCGGAGTTTTCCTTTTGGGACACCTTTTTCCTGATGAGGACATATCCCCCTACCACGTTCATGCTGTTTGGGACCATGTATTAGACTCTCCGGAAATAAAATCCTTGCTTGCCTCTGGAGTCAGATCTGTTTCCTAGGACAGGCAACTGTGTAGCCAGTTCTTGGTATTCCTAACTAGGCAATGGAAATCCATTAGTATTGAAATAGATGCTAATTTTTTCAAGGTATGAAAGGATCTTGCATGTACATGAAAGAACTATATTACTAGTCAACTAGATTTTTTGTGTGTTTTTTTAATCCGCGAAAATCTTGCTGTGATTTAACAAAAATGGAAGAAAGAAATAATTAAAACACACACACACAATCTAGAAAAATTTAGAAGGGAGGTTTATTTCATGCTGTAAACACATACGTAATTCACAGGGACTGGTCAGTGCACCTGTGTGTGTCCATGGCGCTCACAGCCAGGCACCTCCACTCTTGGGAGTTTAAGAGCCAGGGCAGAAGCTGGTGCTGGACAAACGCTGCCTTGTGTCTCTACCCCGACGTGCCATACGTGTTTAAAAAAAGGCTGTCTTTTTATGGTTTAGGTCTTTCTAGATGACTGGAGAAGGAAATGGCAACCCACTCCAGTTCTCTTGCTTAGAGAATCCTGTGGACGAAGGAGCCTGGTGGGCTGCTGTCCATGGGGTTGCACAGAGTTGGACATGACTGAAGCGACTTGGCATGCATGCATGCATTGGAGAAGGAAATGGCAGCCTACTCCAGTACTCTTGCCTGGAGAATCCAAGGGACAGAGGAGCCTGGTGGGCAGCCGCCTATGGGGTCGCACAGAGTCAGACAGGACTGAAGTGACTTAGCAGCAGCAGCAGCAGATGACACGATAAAATGCTACATAGTATCCAGAAGCATCTCCCAACTCAAGTATCTCACTATTTGTGCACTATGGATTAAAAATAAATAAACCTACAGAGTTGGTCAACATGCAGACATATCCCAATAACATCAGATGGATTTGCAGCACGTGAGTGCTGACTCGGCCTCCGAGAGACATCGCCCAGGGAGAATTCCCTGCGAGGTAGACGGAGGTGGCTGGCCGGCCCTCCCTCTGGGCAGGCTGCCGGGTCTCACCGGAGACCCCTTAAATGGCTCTACAAGGCGCGTGACAAAGGCCTCGTCCTGCGCGCTCATCACGATCCAGCCTAGTGGTGTCTGAGGCGGCCTGACGGCAGTGCCGGCCCACATGGATTTGCTGTCACTCTGCAGAGACCTCTCACCTGATGGGGGCATCCGCAGGCTGCGGGCGCTGGGGGCTCGCAGGGGTTAAGCGTGCGCCTCTGGGTTCGCACCCCGGGTGGGTGGAGGCGCCGTGTCCCTCGCAGTGCTGATGACATGATGGATTGCCCGTGCCACTATCGGTACCACTCGGCCACCGATAAGACAGTCGCTCTCCTCCACGCGGAGGAGGCAGCTCCTTTTCTCCCTGATTTTGGGGTGTGCTTGCAGCTGAATTTGAGATGTCTCACTGGGATAGACCCATCTGGTCCCTCAAACCGACTCGTTTCACTTCTTTGGGTTGGAACTGTACTCTCTGCCTATTTTTAATGACACGTCTTTGCCATTTCTAAAAAGTAGCTTTCATATTTTCTAGGCTGAAAGGAAAACTTTTGGAGGGTAGCCTCCCCAAGATTCTTACGGAATCTTAAACTATGTCTGGATGGTCTCCTGGCTGGGCTTCACGTGTTTTGTCTCTAGAGTAAAGCTGTCACGTGCTCTTTTTGAATGAGCTGAAAAAATAAAGTTTATCTCCTCAGAAACAACTCCTCTTTTATCTTGCAGAAGTTTACGTGCAACTACGAAACTTTCTGCTCCTGGAAGAAATGGTCATGTTTTTCCTCGGACGTGGAGGGTAATCATGAGAAGATCACCAAGTGTAGCGATGCTGTCTTGCCCATAACAGGAGACGAGGCTTTCTTTCGTTGCCTTGCAGTGGCAGGAGTTCCACTGACCAAGCATGAAGGCCCGCCTGAGGTTTGGGTGCTGGCCTCAGAAGGCCATCAGAAGTGTCGCCTCCAGCTACAGTGGCCGACATCAATGCAATAAATTTTATTCTTGTGCTTTGTCAGTGCTATTTAAACAAAAGAGGTGAATTTATCTTCTAGAACTCACTGTGTCTACGTAAGGCTATTCTGCAAATGTTTGTCAACACTGCCTTTAACATTTCCAGCAGTTCTGAGAAGCAGCTGGGACTTGAGTCCCCGCTGCTGGAGGTCTCTGAGAAGGGGCCCCATTAAACTTTCTGGAGTTTAATGGTCACCCCGTCACTTAATGACGACGACAGAAATCTCTCTACTGATGCTTCCAGCCAGCTTTGTTTTGAAGTTTTAATCAGGCCTAAATGGGAAGTTATTGAAGAGAATGGTGTGTTCTGCATTTTAATCCCTGGATCCCTCCCTTTCTCCCTCCCTTCCCAACACCGCCCCCCCCCTCACCCAGTCTCCAGCTTTGTTGCAAGCGGTGTGGCCTTGGATTGCTGGGCTTCTAACATACATAATGAGCTCAGTGTCAGACTGCTGGGGCTTTTGTCTTTAACAATAAGCATTTAGCTCAACTAAATGAATAGAAATTGCTTTAGTGAATTACAAAAGCCAAGGTCTTTTCAATGCACGAACACTGACATTCATTATTTTCAACATTGTCTTATTTTTGCAAGCGTAGTAACTTAAAATTGGACTTAAAAATGTAGTAAACTAATTTACTGTTTAACAACAAAGAAAAAAAATCCTATCTTCAGGAAATCAGAAGGTCTGCTGATGGTCATAAAAATCCTTTTCTGATTTAAAAAAGTCCACAGTCTTACACCATGCATTATTTGATTATGAGTGCCTTCCTCTGATTTTGAATCTAAAGTCGTGTCACAGAGTCTGCCTCCCTGGGTCAGCCAGCTAAGGTCAGCAGTCCACAGGCTCCCTGACTTGGGACAAGTTCTCCGAGTCAGCAAACAAGAGCTGACTTCCTGCCCGACCCTCTCGGTCCTCGAGCCAGCCCCCTCCGCCCTCATTCTGCTGTTACCGAGAGAGCTGAACGCTTTTCCTAAATCACTGTAATCCAATAAGCTTTTGTGTTTAGCAGCTTGTTTTGAAACTTGTAGGCACCCAGCCTGTGTCTCAGCACACCGGCTTGCAGTCAGGTGAGACCCCGAGGGCCCGATCGTTATTCTACGCGAGAGGCCTGCTCGGGCCAACAACCAGAATGTAATTTGTAATTAACTGTTATTTACTTCTGTCTGCATCGACTTGTTCAAAAGACAGCGCAGCGGGTCTGGTCATTCCTCTCTCTGTTGTGGATGCGATCTTGCCTGTATCTGGCAGTTCTCACAGCGTCTGGAGGGCTAGGGCTTACTCTCCTGAAACCAGGAGAGGAGGAGTCCGCTGAAATAAATCCAGCACAGATGATTTGCTATGCCCAGGCACATCTGACAGTCTGTTTGATGAAATGGGATAAACCGTCCAACAGGAGAACTGCAGTCTGAGCCAGATAACATGAATGACCGGAGTGTGTGCTCCCAGCGTATCCTCGAAGATGCCATCCTCAGGAGGCGGGTCTGCTCTGGAGCCTCAGACCCTCGTTTATGCCTGCCTTTCAGTTTAAGTGTTTGCTTGTCACACTTCTCATCGAGAGAAGCAGAAACAGAGTGTGTGCTGAGGCCTCGGATCAGGACTCTGTGTTCCCAAGATTGGCAAGTAATTCCTAGTTTGACTACTTGGAAATTAACACATCTTAAGAGTCCATTCGGACAGAAGAGACTGTGAAGGCACTGCTGCTGCTGCTGTTAAGTCACTTCAGTCGTGTCCGACTCTGTGCAACCCCATAGACGGCAGCCCACCAGGCTCCACCGTCCCTGGGGTTCTCCAGGCAAGAACACTGGAGTGGGTTGCCATTCCTGTGAAGGTATTAGGAGGTTCTAAAAGGAAAACATCCGTCCTTTTTTGCAGTCAGATCCCTAACAACTATGCTGTGCTTTCCTTCACACGTTGGGGACTTTCAGTGGCATCGAGAGAGAGTAAATAAATCAGCTTAAATGTCTAAAAGTTTCACTGAGAACTGTCCCATCTTGCTGCAACCAGGGATGCCTCAGGTCCGACGGGCTCCTCAGCCCTTGCTCTTTTCACCCTGAGTGCGCTGTGCGGTGGCGTCTGCCATCAGGCTGGCTGTGATGAAGGATGTCATTGTGTGTCTGTGAATGGAGCCTGAGCCCTTGAGCCCTGAAAGCCGGGCCCTTGACCTGGGCTGGTTCTCCCGTCATCACAGGGCCCATGGCAGAGCATCAGAATTGCCAGCTTATCTTAGAAAGCAGGGACCTGTCTCAAGGCAGGCTTGGGGTCCCTGCTGCATGACTTTCAAATGCATCAAGCAGTTGAGGTTCTGCACAAAGAGGGGGTCAAGCTGAGGGGATGGGCAGGGCAGTCCATAACTGCAGCCTCCAGCCCACAAAGGTGGGTTGCTCACCGCTGGACTTACTGTTCCCCAGTCACTTAGAACCCTTGAGCGCTCCAGGCCTGGCCTGTGTATCTGTAGACACAGAGCATCTCCACGTGGACAGAGATCTTGCCAGAGTATGTACGGTGTGCCCCCGTCTGGACTGGGATGGTGGGCGGGAGCCGGAGGGCAGAGGTTTGGTCCAGACCATGAATAGTGAAGCATCAGACCTCAGGAGCTGCCTGCCCCCACCAGGACCCACCCTGGGACCCCTCCAGGGGAAATGCCCGTGAGGTGGCAGAGCTCAGATGTACACCTTACTTGAAGCTCTTTTGCTGATAATTGGTACAGGGAGCCCTGACACTTCTAGTCAGACTGTGGCATACAGACTCAGTCGCTAAGCCCTGTCCGACTCCCATGGACTGCAGCCCGCCAGACTCCTCTGTCCATGGGATTCTCCAGGCAAGAATGTTGGAGTGGGTTGCCATTTCCTCCTCCAGGGGATCTTTCCAACCCAGGGATCAAACCCACGTCTCCTGCATTGGCAGGCGGATTCTTTACCACTGAGCTGTCCCCACCAGCCTCTTAAATGCCCAGGCAGTTCTGCTAACCTGCCCGTGGACAGCCCAACAGTGGTCCTCCACAGTCAAAGCCCTCTCATTCTCTTGGTTTTCTCACCCTTAGTTTTCTTGCTTTTGGTTTACATCCAAGTTGCCAGAAATAAGAGCTGACAGTTGTTACAGATATGCTGGTTTAATTACTTGTCAGCTTACAGCTGGTATTTCAGGTTACCGACGTAGATGCTTACCTTTCTTCAAGTAGCTTAAAAGCTGACCAACTGCTATAGCTTACATATTTAGCCCTGCAACTCCAGATACATTTAAGATAAAAAACAAAACATGTGTGCAGTCTTTCTGAGTTGCTGGCAAAAGCCATCAACCTCCGGGTCCTCTGATTTCACAGAGATGTCAAGTGATGGGAGATTCTGCCACCACACTGACATTTAGAGGAACATGGGTGTGCTTTGGTTTCATTTTAGAGTTTCTCTGAGACAACACTGCCAGGACAGCACCAAGGAGAGGGCACGCATCCTACTCATGATAAAGTGGAATTAGGGTCGAAGGCTACAGATAGCCTGTAGGGACCTCTCCAGCCCTAATCCCAGCCCTCCCCAAGTCTACAGAAGACTCTGGTCACATGATATCCTTCATTTTTGGAATCTGATTTTAAAAAGTGGCGTCTTCCTGCAGTGTAGGAGACCATGCATCCACTCAGTTGTGTCCGACTCTGAGACCCCGTAGACTGTAGCCTGCCAGGCTCCTCTGTCCATGGAATTCTCCAGGCAAGAATACTGCAGTGGGTTGCCATTTCATTCTCCCAGGGGATCTTCACGACCCAGGGATCAAACCCGGGTCTCTTGCATCGCAGGGAGTTACGGACTGACTCACAGATGTAGAAACAGACTCACAGACTTAGAAAACAAAATTATGGTTAGCAAAAGAGAAAGGAGGGAGGGGCAGATTAGTAGATTGGGTTTAACAGAAACATACTACTATACATAAAACAGGTAATCAACACAGATCTACTACATCACAGGACACTATACTCAGTCTTCTGTGAAAATCTATATGGGCAAAAGATCTGAAAAAGAATGAATATATGTAATGATATAGAAGATCAAACCAGTTAGTCCTAAAGGAAATCAACCCTGAATATTCATTGGAAAGACTGAGGTTGAAGCTGAAGCTCCAATACTTCGGCCACCTGATATGCAGAACTGACTCACTGGAAAAGTCCCTGATGCTGGGAAAGATGGAAGGCAAGAGGAAAAAGGGGACAACAGAGGATGAGGTGGTTGGATGGCATCACTGACTCAATGGACATGAGTTTGAGCAAACTCTGGTAGATGGTGAGGGACAGGGAAGCCTGGCGTGCTGCAGTCCACGGGGTCGCAAAGAGTCGGACATGACTGAGCGACTGAACAGCAACTGACACGTGTAACTGAACCACTGTGCTGTGCGCGTGAATAACACAATAGTGTAAGTCACCTACGTGTGTGTCAGTCGCTCAGTCGTGTCCAAGGGGTGCAGCCCACCAGGCTCCTCCGCCCACGGGATTCTCCAGGTCAGAATCCTGGAGTGTGGTGCCATTTCGTTCTCCAAAACCAACTCTCCTCTAGTAAAATTTTTACAAAAACAATCAAACATAGCTTGAAGGGGAAAAAAGGAAAAAGAGAAGCATCTGGATGCATTCAACGCTGCCGTCTGCCCGGTGCCCCACCGGTTCCTTGTTTATAGCTCAGCAGCCCTCCCAGTTCACGTGGGGTCAGTTACACAGGGTCTCTGCTTTAACCCTGCTCCTCAGGCCTGCCTCCCTCGCTCCCCGCCTCCATGTGCAGGGCCCTTGAGGGACCCAGGGAAAGGTTAGGACTGAGGTCTGTGCTGGTCAGCGTCCTGCCGGAGCTCAGGCAGAACCCCAGGCCCCTCGCCAGCCCCGCTGTCCTCCAGCAGGTCTGGGAGTTCTTTTCACTGCAGGCTCTGCTCTCCCCCGGCACACACAGCTTCCACTGACCGGTAGTGGATTTCTGGGGACTGACGTCTGCCTACTGGACTCCCTGAGTGCAGCGGGCTGCCAGGCCCAGTGGGGACACAGGCGCTAAGGTCTTCACTCAGATACTTGCCTAGATGCACAGCGAAGGGCTGGGTCTCCAGGTCACTTTAAAGATTCAGGGAGGCCTTTCAGATGCACCGTCTTCTGGAGGGCTGTGGGTTGAGGGCCCAGGGATCAAGGCCAGGGGCACCCCGAGGGAGGTCTTGGCCAGCTGACATGACTGTCCTGCCCCTTCCTGAGGCTTTGCAGAGACATCCTTCAGGCTCCCACGCACTGGCCACGTGGCCCGCCCTGAATTTTGAAGGGCAGATGGAAAATTTGCATCGGGAGAGCTGTGGACGTCCCCTCCACTGGAGAACTTGGAGAGGCAGCCTCCTGTGCTCACGGGCATCAGGACTGTGTTCCCAGACGCGGGCACACGGTGTGGAGAGGCCCGGGGGGCGCGTGGAGCTTAGAGGGAGGCCTTTGTGCGGGTGGAAGCCAAGTTCAGTTTGGCTGAGGCTGACCGGGAGAAACGTTAGTGTGAGGTGATCGCCGAAGAAGGTCATGGTTCCGTCCTGTCCTCCCTACGGATTCCTCTTTCCTGACCAGCGCCCCAGCAGCTGAAGGGATGGCTGTCTCCCCTCGGCAGTGCTCCCAGCTGCGGGGGGATAGAACCAAACCAGAGCTGCATCTGACCAGCTCCACAGTGACACCTAGGAGCCAGGACCACAGAACCCCGCTGCAAGAGGGCAAGAGGGTTCGCTTGCTGGCTCATTTCCGCCTTGGAATGCTTCCTCCGGCACCTCGTGTTTACAAACAAGATAAAAGCAACACAAAAACCAACCAAAATAAATCGAGAAGGAAAACTCCAGAGAGGTTGATCGATGGTGCCCCTGATAAAAAGCGCAACCTTGCTCTCCACTGTTATTTGACATTGCTGAAGGTTCATCTTGATTACTTTCAATAAAATTCAAAGTAAGGATGACTGTCTTGGCTCACTAAGCAACAAGGTTTTATCACTAATTACAATCCTTTATTACCAGTAGTTTAATAGGTTTATGTTAGGTCATAAAACAATTCAGCACGGGAGTACATAAAGGGGTGGCTTAGGCAGCTGTGACATCTTAATATCTATTCATTGTAATCATTTTATGATCTTTAATGATGGCGCTTTTTATTAAAATTTGTACATATGCTTTTACATGGGCTGTGTTGCCACCAAAACCGGGAAGCGGAGTGAAGAATCACATAAATATATACTGAAATACTTAATGAGGCATCTTGAAAACTTCTATTGTCGAAAGCGTGTCGACTACATCGCATGTGTGGAGTCTCATTATGGGTAATTATAATAAAATTATAAGTGCTATAATAATTCTAACCTTGAAGGCACAATAAAGGATGGTTATATTTGCCTTCCTAGCCCACACATCTGAGGCGTTTTCTTCATTAATTATATTTCACATAAGAATAATTACGTTGCGTAAGACTGAAATTCCAAGGCATCTGCTAGATTCTGTGAACAACAGCCTTCCTCTGGTGAGCATTCCTGGGCTTAATTACCTTACCACCTAAAGTTATATGCAGAGCAATGCAATGCATAATTTACATGGCTTGAAGGAGGGTATTTGTTGTTAGTCTTAATTTTATTTTGTAACCCAATTAGCAAACTAAATAAATTGGGAAAAGACAAGCTTCTCATCTGAGTCTGCATCAGGCCTGTGTCTCCCCAGCAAAGCCAGCCCATCCACTGCTCCTCCTTCTTACAACACCTTCCCCCGACCCCCCACCCTACTGGGTCGGCTGGAGAGGCAGGGCAGACACACCTTTCTACTGTTCTGTCTCTGTTCGGCTAGTCAGAAAATCTATTTTCTTGTGCAGTTATGGTCTACATATTTGATTTCATTTACTTCTGACCCAAGGACCATCATAACTCTGGATGCGAGGCAAAATCCTTGATTTGAATACAGATGTGACTTCAGATGGTAAATGACTGGGGAATGTAAAACTTGCACCAGGATGACAACTTTATTCATTGTACAAAACATACACCAATATTTATCAAGCTTATCAGGCCCGCTCAGAGAAGGGCTTCCCAGGTAACGAGGTAAAGAACCTGCCCGCCAGTGCAGGAGACATAAGAGACGTGGGTTTTATCCCTGGGTCAGGAAGATCCCTTGGAGGAGGGCATGGCAACCCACTCCAGTATTCTTGCCTGGAGAACCCCGTGGACAGAGGAGCCTGGTGGGCTACGGTCCAGGGGGCAGGGTGATATGGCGTGATCAGTCGCTTCTGAGTGCACCCACACACCACTCCTAACTGCAAAGCTTTCTTGTAAAATCTATTAAATAGTTGCAGTTACATCATGGTGACTAGATTTCTGGAGTCCAAGCCTCCCCCTTTCCTCTCTCTGCTCGGTCAAGTTAGTTCCACCACTTCTATTGAGAATTTCCTTTTGGGGAGAAGCACTTTCTGAACATCTTAGAATTGAATTAGAATGCAAGAGAAAACAGCAACAGAAACTGCAGTGAAATTTTGCTAATTTAAATTAATTACACAAAGCCCATTTAAATTATAAAGCATGTTGGGACACACACTTTGTAACTTTCAAGCATAATAGTAAACTTAACCCAGGCCAAAAAAAAAAAAAAGAAAATAGAGAAAGAAAGAAAAAGAAAAAGCCCAGCTGAGGTTCTCAAGGGAATTACTTTAGTGAATAGACTGGAATGATTTGTAATTAGCATATAAATTGTATGCATGTAAATGATGCTTCTAAAAGGTATTTGAAAAGTTTATTTTCTTAAGTATTTCAAATCAGACCCCCTGCAACCTTGCTTACAGTGCTGATTTGCACTTTCATGAAAAAAATTTGCAGTAAAAAAAAAAATACAACTTCAGTCAGGGTTCTCCCTTCCCCCTCCACCACCCTTGCTCATGTTTTATCACAAATTACAAATTAGTGGCATAGAAATTAATGAGGTTTTTACAGTATTCAGTCAAATCATGCAATAAAAAGCTTTAATTCAAACACAGGAGCTTGATTATTATAATATATTCAAATGCAATGCACTGTTTGCTAAATTTTGTAAGACTGGAATCAATGTGTCATTTAAAGTTAATTTTAATACAGAGAAACAGAAGCTCCAGGCTCTCCAGTTGGGTGGCTGTCTGCTCTGCCTTCCCGAGGAAACAGCAATTTGGTACTTTATAGAAACGACCTTTAAAGTGATGGAGCCAGCTCTGCGTATAGGAAGCATAGAGGTCAGATCATATTCGCAGGTACCCGAGGTGTAGACTAGGCTTCCCAGGTGGCAGTAGTGATAAAGAGCCCGCCTCCCAAGCAGGAGAGGTAAGAGACGGAGGTTCGATCCCCGGGTTGGGAAGATCCGCTGGAGAAGGACATGGCAACCCACTTCAGTATTCTTGCCTGGAGAAGCCCATGGATTATGGTGGGCAATAGTCCATGGGGCCACAAGACTGAAGCAACTTAGCATGCATGCATATGCGTATGACCAAGAGGGAGCTCCCAGCCTTGCAAAGGCAGCTGTGTAGATGAGCATCACTAAATATCAGTGTCACCGGCCTGTCTTCTGTACTTACAGAGGATGAGCAGTGACAGTGCCTTCCTGTTAATGACCTACTGCTCCCTGCCCACGGGGGACACTCGCAGGACATGAGCTCTCCTTCTGGGCCTGGGGCCTTTGCTCTGTAGGGGAAAGTGACACAGGCCTCTTAGGGTACACCACCCTTTGCCGCAGGGACCTGCCACTCTACGCCAGCCTACCCATCCTAATCCGTGTCAACTTCAAGTTGGCACTTATCGAGAGCATTGCCAAGGACTGAACAGCAAAGGCATTTGCCATCTGCCTCTGCAGAGACTGAACCCCAGGCCGCTATAGCTGGTGACCATCAACAACCCTTGAGGGAGTTCAGGGCAGAGTGAGGCATTCTGCTCCAGGGAATCTGGTGGGACAGGTCTTTAGACAGTTGGATATTTTTAGGAACAGATTTTATGATCTCAACCCTTGCATCTCCTCATATTTAGGGAAGCGCTAAATCCCTTCATGGTGACATCAGACCCTCATAACTAACAAAAAACCTTTTGTAAAATGAGTGCTTCATGGTATTGAACTCCCCCTTCACCAAAACCTTACATATTGACCTTCCCCCACTGCTGCTTTGGAGCCGTCTCTCAGAGCTATCTGAGATGCCTCCAGGGCTGCAGTCTTCATTTTGCCCCAAATAAAACTTAACTCTCAGCTCTCAAGTTGCACATCTGTTTTAGTCAACATCCGAGACAGAAAAGGGCACCGCCTTGCTGGTGACATTGGTGTTCCGTGTGGAATCACTTAGGAAATCCTTGGTGTGAGGCTGTCTTCATCCACCGGTGAGTCATCTGCCTCCTTCGCTATTCACCTGGTTTGAATTGTCTTTTTTAATTAATTCATTTTAAATGTAAAAGAAATAAATCTAGGTCATGTCTGCCTCTTTGCGACCTCATGGACTATACAGTCCAAGGAATTCTCCAGGCCAGAATACTGGAGAGGGTAGCCTTTCCCTTCTCCAGGGGATCTTCCCAACCCAGGGATCAAGAACCCAGGTCTCCCGCCTTGCAGGCGGATTCTTTACCAGCTGAGCCACCAGGGAAGCCCAAATAATTCATTTTAAATGTAAAAGAAATAAATCTACGTGATCAAAGGAAAATAGTCCAGGAAGTCTCCTCTGACTCCAGGGATAATCACTCCTTTTTGATATAATTTAGAAAACGATTTGCTTTCTTTTCGGCTGCTGCGGGTCCTCGCTGCTGCCTGAGACCGTCCTCTGGCTTGCGGCTCGCCGGCTCCCAAGGGCCTGGGCTCCACTAGTTGGGGCTCGCAGGCCTAGCTGTTCTGATGCACGGGCTCTTCCTGGGTCAGGGGCCAGACCCAGCTCTCCTGCACTGGCAGGCATAGTCTTAACAACTGGACTACCGGGGAAACCCAGGACAATCATTCTTGAACAGGTGCACCCCAGAGAAAGAGTGTATCTGTGCCTGGCACCTCCTCCTTCTGCTGCCTGAGTGGAGACGTGGACACATCCTTCCTGTTTAGTAATATTTAAGTTCTGCCCCATGACCGGGTGTTTGCGCCCCCCCCCCGCTCCCCGCTTACACTCTCCTGGGGTCCTATCTTCCCAGCAGCCCTCTGGTGTCCTGCCCACACCTCAATTTATTCAGCCGTTCCCATGATACTAAACGTTTTTAGTTGTTTTTGCTTTGTTTTTGAAAGCTGTGGTGAATCTCCATACACTTACAGTTTTTTTTTATGACTTCAGGGTAAATTTCTCATAGTGGACTATCCTGCTAGCAAATTGATAGAATTCAAACCTGTTGCATGTTAAGTCACTTCAGTTGTGTCCGACTCTGTGCGACCCCATGGACAGCAGCCCACCAGGCTCCTCTGTCGCTGGGATTCTCCAGGCGAGAATACTGGGGGGTGCCATGTCCTTCTCCACCAAATTCTCCCAGCAAACACTGTATCAAATGTAGTTGTCCCCACCACAATGGAGAGAGAGTGCCTCCTTTATA